AGAAGAGAGGTCTTAGGCCAGTCATCTCAGCGCTATGATAAGCCTGAAGTCACCTAATTTGTGAGGTGCTGGTGGCCAGGGTCAGCCACCTAGGCCAGAGCTGCTCCAAGGATGAGAAGGAAAAACAGACTGACTAAGAAGGTCACATGGCTCCCACAGCCAGTCGTCCTTGTGGCAAAGATGGAACAAGCCCATCCCTGTCCTGGTCTGGGCCTGGCTTCTCGGGTAAGCCAGGGCAGATATAGGAGTCCAAGGGTTCACCGTCAGCATCTTCACCCCACCCTCCCCAGAAAGCCCTTGACCCCACTGACCCCCGAGAGGTGGCAAGAGGGTAGAGTGAGAAGGAAGCTCTGGGCTTTGCAGGGCTGGGGTGGGGCTAAGGAGTTGATGGAACCAGATCTGGACACTGTGGAGGCCATTTGTGACAAGCAATCAGTTCCATGATCTCCACCGTGTGGGCACATCTCTAATTGTTTTTACGTTGGCCCTGTTCTTTTTGTTTTTTTCTTCTCTCCCCTTGCATTTGACGAACTATAGAGAAATAGATTATTCATGTTGAGGCCAAAAGAGTTCATCTGGATCTCAGGAGGGCAGGGCTGTGGCTTGAGTAGGGATCAGGGGGAACAGGCAGTGGCTTCCTCACTGGAGGGCACTGGGAGTTGGGGGACAGAGTTGGTGGGATCACCCACCTCTTTTGCCCACCAGCTTCCTCCTTCACTCTTTTTTTTCTGGCTAATAGCAATTATTATTATTATTATTTTTTAGACAAATTCTTGCTCTGTCCCCAGGCTAGAGTACCACTCCCTCAGCCTACCTCACTGAAACCTCTAATTCCTGGGCTCAAGGGATCCTCTTGCCACAGCCTCCTGAGTAGCTGGGACTACAGGCACTCACCACTGCACCTGAATGGTTATTTTTATTTTTAGTAGAGACAGGATCTCACTTTGCTCAGGCTGGTCTTGAATTCCTGACTCTGAAATGATCTTTCTCATCCTCCCAGAGTGCTAGGATTACAGGTGTGAGCCACTACACATGGCCAGCAATTACTTTTCTAAAAGGCCTTCTCCCTACCTCTCATTCCTTTCTGTTGTGAGTTGAATAGAAGCTCCAATCTCTAGTACCCCAGAATTTGACCTAACTTGGAGATAGGGTCTTTGGAGGTGATCAAGTTAAACCAAGGTCACTAGCGCAGGCCTTAATCCAATACAGAGACAGAGAGGTACACAGGGAGAGCATCATGTGAAGATAGAAGCAGAAATTGAGGTGATGTGTCTCAAGCCCAGGAACTCTGGCCAGAGATGACCGGCAAACTGCCAGAGCTGGGAGAGCCCTGGGACAGATCCTTACCCAGAGCCTCTGAATGGAGTGTGGTCCTGCTAACCTCACTTCTAGACTTCTGGCCTCCAGAACAGTGAGACAACATTTCTGTTGTTCTAAGCCACTCAGGTTGTGATACTTTATTATGACAGTCCCAGGGAGAAAGTACAGTTTCTTGCTGGGCCTCTGTAAGGTTGCAGGGATGGGTTTGAGGTGGGGGGACTGAGTGGAGTTCCCCGGAAGGTTCCTCCCTCCTTGTTGATAGAGCTGGCACCAGTAGGCACTAGAAGTTGTGTTCCTCAGACTCTCCCAGAGGAGGGCATGTGCCGTGGTGCTGTAAATAGGGTAAGCAAAAGGGCCCAGCCAGGTATGGGGGGAGGGCAGAGGGACACATGCTGTGGACAGGTGACTTGTCACGTTCACACAGGTATTAGGGAGGGAGGGCCTTGTCACAAGGCAGGACAGGGTCAGGTCAGCGGAGAGGACATTGTGTTTCATTGATTAGTGACATAATCAGATGAGCTGTAAGATGAGAGGGCGTGTCTGCCAGGAAGGGCCAGGACACTGTGTCTAGGCTTTTTCTCCAGACCCACACCCTGTCCTGGCATGCCCAGCTCCGTGGCCCAAGGAAGGGTGAGGCTCTGGGTCTCGAGGAGGGACACAGAAGAGCCAAAGGCCGCTCAGAGCTGGCCAGGGCCCTAGAGACCCTGTGCCATAGAGGAGGGAGCCACAGAATCCTGGAGAGCAGGAGCAGAGAGTCTGAATATTCCCATTTTTACAGAGGGGAAACTAAGGCTGGAGATGAAATGAACCACAGCTTGAGGAATGTGGGAGAAGCCAGGAGGAGACGAGGAAGAGGTAGCGATAAGGAAAAGAAGAGAATGGGAGGGAAAGAGAAGCAGAAAGAAGAGAGAGGGGGTGGAAGGACATAAGGAAGCCAGAATATTCTCCCCACGGTGCCTAAAGTGCCTCTATGAGAGATACGTGACTAAGGGTCTGGGAGGCCTAGAAAGAGCAGGGAAGTGGGTGTTATCATTACTACTCCTAGGCCAGCAGCTCTGGGTGACATCACCACAGGGTGACATCTCAGGGGAGGGAATCCTGAGGCCCATGGCTCCTGTCTTCCTTGGTCTCCCTCCCTTCTTCTCTAGGGGCAGGTGAGGGTCCAGGGGGGTGTTCCTGGAGGGTCCTGCTGTGACCCCCTGCTGACCAGAGCCTTATCCCCATAGCCATGGCCATGGAGCCCAAAGCAGCTGAGGTAGGACCTTAGAGGTCCCAATACTTGTCTTTTCTTTCTTTTTTTTTTTTTTTTTT